CCACGATCTGGAACAAGGAGGGGGCTCCATTCCAATGCCGAAAGGGAAGGCGACAGAGATTCTGCACCACCCTCGGCCGCCTCTCTTGCGTCTGCTCTCCCCAGGCTCTTCACTGAGCGTCTGTCCCCAAAACCGCTGCACGCCGCCGCGGCTGGATAGGTAGGGGGGGGGAGCAGTTTACCGCCGCCTTCCCAGCGGGGTCCGAGGCGTTCCTCTCGACACTGTGACCGCCTGGGGGCCTCCCAGGACTGCCAGCGCCGGATCCATTGTAAATCGAGGCCTGCAGCTCTCGAATATATTTTAGGGCTGGAAAGTAAATACTTTCTACCATTGCCCTTTAGGTCTCCGCTTCTTCTTCTGACCTTCCAGTGTCTTCTGGGATCTTCGTGCTCTTCAGAGCACAGCCAGCACATCCTGCTCAGAAGGCAGGGCCGGTAAGACTGGGGATCAGAGGATAAGCCCCTCCCCTCTGGGATCAAAGTTTGCCAGCCCTGCTTATGGAAGGGGGAGGTGCTTTCCCAGGAGTAAGGAGTCAAGGACTGCCCCACTCCTGGACCACCGGAGAATAGGCTTGAAAGCACTCTGTGCAAAATCTCAGAGGTCAAGATATCTAATAGCTTAGCAGCCCCAAAAGTGTGTTCCTTTCCATAGCTAGCAAAAGCAGAATAATTTATGTAAAATAAGCAAATATACATAAGTCACAAATCTAGATTCTAGTTATAACATCATACATCCTGGCCTACCTACTCTTTTTAGTGGCTGGTTTTCCAGTCTCATGCCATCAGTGCCCAGCCTAAGAGAGCTAATGTGGCAGGGTAGATAGGATGATGAATGTGGTCTTTGAAAATCTATGTTCAAATCCCTGCCTAGACAAGTCATGGTGACTCAGATGAATAGTCAAATATTTATTGCAGGGAGTGAGAATCTGTGGACTTGAACCCTAAAGTATACTTATTGTCTAATGTCAGCTATGCTGCCATATTGTTTATTAGCCTAGAGTTCGCCTGCCTGACCTGTATACAAGTTGGTGCCACATTCCTTCCCTCTCGCTTCTCTCCCGGTTATCTCTGACCTTGTACTCCTGCCTGTGTAGTGTCTCCACTTTAATTAACCGTGAGACTAGTTTCGTTTCTCAGCCTTGGATCGGTTGGATCATTGGTTCCCGCCTGCGGGAAACGGGATGATTGGCCCACAGGTGGGGGGGGACCTCTTGAATCTTCTATATCATTGTATGCTTGTTCCATGCTCGTCATTCCTAACAGTGACTATGTTATTGCAACCATAGTACTGACAATAAAGCAAAACCTTTCTCGGAAGTGTGTGCTCCATTGTTTGGCTGTGGGTCCTGAAACTTCTGATCTATGACAGTATCTTGCAGGTTGGAATATTCTCCACTTGTGCATTACTCTTTCAAGTTATCAGCATTACTTTCCATCATTTAAACTAAGTAGCGCACTAGATTCTTTGGATTGTCACATTTGCTTTTTCCTCAGCTTCCCCAAGCTGCTTACACATTCCTGCCCATCTATCTTTAGTGAATAACTGTGTTACCTGGTTTTCCACCAACATGGCAATGTCCACAAACATGTCATGAAGCTCCTTGATACTACTTTCAAGCCGCAAAATATCCTTATGCCGCCCTTCAATCTCACTCAATGCCTGCTTTGAAATCTGAGAATCCATGATCTAGAAGAAACCAAAAGACTGTCATTTGCAAACAAGCAATCAAAATCATCCCCTTCCAAGTGGACACCAGGAAACTTTCAGCACTGTAATTGTCATATGCTCCATCACAGCCTCTTTACCTACATATACCTTTCTATTTCTGCTTCCTACCCAAAGTCTGCTGGTTTTTTTTGTTATTCATGTACCTCCAACCTATGAGACTTGTAAGCCTTGAACTCAGGGTCGTCTGCTCCCTTCTCCCCTCAAAGTACCCAGCAGCACTGTTCACTGGCACTCACCCCAGATGTGAATATTGCAGGATTCCCACTCTCTAGCATTTCCTCCAGCTCCTCATCTGTTGTATTCTTCCCAGCTGTATCCCGGGGGGGGGGGGAGGTGTAAAGAAAAAAGAACAGGAGTGTCATATGTAATAATTTGAACAAACACTCAACATGAGCTATACAATATATCAGGCTCGGAAATGGGGCGATGGCTTTCATGAGTTAATAATGTTTACCTTGGCATGGTTTGCTTGGGCCATGAAACCAGTGAGATGCCTGTCTATAACCAGGGTTCTATGCATTTCATGACTGCACCATTCCTGCACAAAAATGGGTACCTGTCACTGGAAATTATCCTGTACTAACAGGACTGCTCTGTGTACAGCTAAAGTAGTGTATAAGAAAGGCCTTATTGTAAAAGCCTGTAATGATGATGGCGTGTATCCTACTCTTCAGCTCTTAACGCTGACAAAATAGCCTTGGAACTATGTAAGAAATGTTGCCTTGATGCCAGAAGGCTGGGAGCTCCTGGAGTTTGGCTCTGCAGTGAAGTCTTTATGGTATGGAGACTTGCTCATGACATGAGTGATCAAACTGGTATTTCTGGCCACTGTGTGACACAGAGTGTTGGACTGGATGGGCCATTGGCCTGATCCAACATTGGCTTCTCTTACGTTCTTAATGTGTAAATGTTCTTAAACTGCCTCCAGAACCGCTCTGAGAGCACCCAGCTTGTGAGTACCTATTGCAGTCTCCAGTGCATGTTAGAAACTAAACACCAAGAAGTGGAATGCCACACCAATGGCAAGTAAGGAGCACTACAGAGCAATTAACGTATCTGCCGGGAGAAAAGAGCCTCAAAGGGGAAGTAGGGAGCCTTCTGCGGTTCTAGCGTAAGTGAAGGCCAAGGCCAGCCAGCGTACACCATATACGTACTAATCTCAAGCTGCCGCTGGATCCTCCCTTTGCTCCGTTCCCGGAAGTCAACCTGGGCCTCATTGTACTTCGTCATCACTTCAACAAATTTTCGAGAAAGAACCGAATGCTGGTGACAGAAGAAATGACGTCACAAGAGCCCTTAATGCTTTCAGTCTAACAGTCTGATCTGCTCTATAGAGAAGAGTACAGTAAAGTTCATTGGCTTTATCTTGCCATCACTGTAAACTTAAAAGAAGGCTGATTCTTTGGAACATGCAGACATTTTAGGGTGGGTGTATTACTAAGTATAGATCCATGATTCTTTAAAACTACAGTTTGTGTTCACTAAATGCACCCACTGAGGCTGTAATGCAATGAGGAAAACAAGCTTGGTGAGAGAGGCACTTAATTTTTACTCCTTCAGTCATTCTCCCACCAGAAGTTATCTCACAAGCTATTTTACTCCAGTTATGGAATATTGACAATGGTCAATACAGCTCAATGGAGGCACTTTTTGGTAGGAAAGGGTAAAGGGTTAAAAGCCCCATCCTATCTCTCTTTTCCAACTGCTGCATTTGCATTTTATAAAAACAAAAACTGCCCATTTAATCATATAATGTGTAGTTCTGCCCTCAGAGCTTACATTAAAAATGACACCCTTCCCCTAAATTTTTGCTAATGTACATGAGACTTTTACCTTTGAGGAACTGAAAGTCATCTACTAATGTGCATTTCAACAGAAAAAAAACCCTTCCAACTTTGAACAGTTCAAATTAAGAAATATTAACGAAAGAGAGAAGTTCTGTAATGTTCAGGCTGAAAGGCACATGGACATTATTGGGTACTCCACATACTGGGCAGAAACCATTAAAGATAAAGGTTTCCCTTGCTTGAAAGCCAGTTGAATCTGACTCTAGGGGGCAGTGCTCATCTCCATTTCCAAGCCGAAGAGCCAGCGCTGTCCGAAGATGTTTCCGTGGTCATGTGGCCGGCATGACTAAACGTCAAGGCGCACAGAATGCTGTTACCTTCCCACCTAAGTGGTACCTATTTATCTACTTGTAGTTTCTTGCTTTTGAACTGCTCGGTTGGCAGGAGCTAGGGCCAGAGACGGGAGCTCACTCCATCATGCGGCACTTGGGTCTCGAACTGCTGAACTACCGACCTTCCAGTCTGCAGCTTAGCTACCGCTCTCTCTCTCTATATCTCTCTACATCCTTCCGCCAACCCTGGCTCTGTTTTTTAAAAAGACTTGCTTCCAAGGCTCCATCTGAGTTAACACTACAGCTTGGAACTAGTTTTTAAGATGCCAGAGACACTTCAGATACTTCTGAGCATGTGGAGAGAACTTCTCTCACTATGAACCACAGCTCAGGCCTGAGGGTTTGACTTCTAAGATAAGAGCCTCAGCATTTCCCCCTACTCCCTACAGTTAACTACTTGTACTATCCAAGACATGCGCTTTTTCCTTTTCTGACTCCAGTTCTTGCATTATGTATCCGCAAGCAAATGCATCTTGCAACCCGTAGGTAGCTCAACAAGAGTTTCAGAGTATAGGCTTTTGAGAGTCACAGCTCCCTTCATCAGACACCTAACGCTGAATCTGTTTTACTGCTGACCAACACGGCAACTCTCTGAAACTATCTGCATGTACTTGTCACTCTGCTTACCTGGGATTTCCGTATCCGCAGGTCTGCTGATGACCGGACTTCATCTTCCTCAATGTTCCGCTCCATGCCTGTAAATGCAGGGAGCAGAATTTAATGTTACAAATTGCAAGCGTATCAGAGGATGCTTAGTGAATACATCTAGACTTCTACTGAGCTGCATGTAAAGACACCGTCCATAGCACTCTAAAAGGACATCCCACCTCTGAATAGGAAAGGTCCAGAATGGCTGAGGGTCCATTTGCATGTAGGAAAATTTAACATGAGTCCAGGTTAAGAGCATACAGGCTTAAATGCACTTGCCAAAGCATGATGTGCCACTTATCAAGAGCTTTAGAAAGCACATCTAAACCTAACCCGCAAACTGCAGAGAAAAGAAAGCCTTTAAGAGGTGGGTGAAGAAAGGTCACGTGCAAAAAGTCTGTCCAGAAGTTTGCTAGAAAAGTGGGGGGGGGGCCCTAAATAAATTAGACACGTGCAGTTAATGGCATTTGCCTGGTGTCTTGTGGAATGCACGTAGCCCAGAGACCTACAGTCCATTGCTTCCCCTGCAGAAAGTCCTGTTGCTGCCACTCAGATCCCTATAAAGCAGCCAACAGGCTATCGTGCATGGTTTCTAATTTTGTAATAGTCCTGGTGCCTTGATCATAAAATGTCTCGTGCTGTTTGATTGCACACTGTTTTGTGATGTGCACCTCAACGAGAAAGGCAGGGTATAAATAAAGTAAATGAATAACCCATCCATAGTCGGAAACAGACAACGGAAGGAAGGCAAACTGGAAAGTGGACGAGGAATGCCATCTAGAAAACTCATAAAGGAAAATATAAAGCTGGCATTATTTATTTAAAATATCATTGTTCTGTTTCTCAATTAGAAGGAATCCACAAAGCAGCTTACAAAACAGCACTAATTAAACTCTAACACAATAAAGCAATGTAATCCAAAACACAGATAAAGGATAAACCAAGAATACTAGATAAGAGCAGAAAGTTCCACCAGAATATCAGCAGTAAGCCCCTTGGAACAAGATTACTTTGAAAGAAATGAAACAAAAATGTTTTGCAGAGTAGACCTGCACAATCTCAGTGTTGCCACTGAGGAGATTAGATTAGACATTCTCTCCATTCCCTGGACTATCAGGGTCAGCTTCTTTGGTGACTGGAGATGGTTCCACCTTTAGCAGCTGCCAGAAGGTAATAAAGGATAGCTGGCCTCACCAAAACAGCTGGAATACGACTCCTAAGGATGAGATGGCACTAAGGATAGCTCCACCGTTTATATGGTAGACGCAAATTCCTGGGGTTATTCCAGGGTTCCTTTGGTAGATCATGCAGCAAATGCAAACTAAGAGTGATACTATCTACATATTTGCACATCTGTATTCCTGCACACAGAAGACCTTATTGGGACAGGGCTCCCCAAGTTGCATCTGCAGATGTTTAAAAAACTAGGAAATGTCACCCAACTTTGTGTGATTGCTGTAGGATACATTTGGTATGCATGTAGCAATCGTGCCACTTGTGCAAAATAAAGAGATACCCTCAGTAAGAGCTGAGGCATACAATGAAGAAGCCTTGAGACGGTCTCTTACTTTTAAGTTTGTTTCGGACACTGTTAGCCCTTTTTTTGATTTCTGCTGTGAGCTGATCCAGATCATCTTTTGTCTCTGCAGAACACAAGGGGAAAAATTAGCTTTGGGAGGTATAAGAACAGCCAGAAACATCCTTAAGCCAGCACCTTCCAGCTGGTCAGGAAGATATGAGAGGGCAGCGGAGGTCCATTCATTCATTCCATTTCATCCCACACTTCCCCCCAGGGAGCTTAGGGAAGCATACAAGGTTCTCCCCTCCTTCACAGCGTATTCACAACAACTGTGTGTGGCACATTCAACTGGCAATATGTGTTATCTGGTGAGCTTCATTAACAAGCAGAGTTTTGAGCCTGGGTCTCCTAGTCTGATACTCTAACCACTATGAGCCTTTTCACACGACCTTTCTAAACCGAATGGTTTCCGTTATTGTCCCATCATTGAGTAAACTGGTACAGGGACAGCTGTTCCACGCAGCATTTCCCTTCCGGTAAGGAGCCATCTCTGAAGTGCTATGTCATTTCAAACTGTGCCGCTTTCTTTTCCCGCCATTTCCCCTCGCATGCACAATCTTCCTGAGAGGTGGTTGTTTGTTTGTTTTTAAATGTGGTATTGGGAGCGCCATGGCCCTGAAGCAGGACCACAAATCAGCACCATAGTGACCCCACTGAGATGCCTGGACTCTATTTAGCTATACGGACATTCGCTACTGCTGTCCCCTGCAAACAAGGAGCTCATTGGATACAGAGTTCAAGCATGAAAGGGGGGGGGGGAACTGGGCAGTTTTGAAACCCAGGAAGGTTTCCGTCCTTCCTTAAGTTCCACAGCCCATGGGGAGAGTGTGTGTGTGTGTGTGTGTGTGCGCGTGCGCCTAAGTCTACACTTCCTCTAAAGCAAACATCTGTCTCACCATTCATTCACTTATGCCCCCGATCTCCCACTCAAGCACCCTGTCCAATCAGCTCCTTGTTTCCAGGTGGCAGCAGTAGCAAATGCCAGTGTATCTACATAGATGTCGTGGGCCAGCCTGCCTTAGCTGAAGAGCACTCAGCTGATGCTGATAACAGCCCCGGCAGCACCTCTGAGGCTCAGCCAGCTGATGCTGCTAATGACCCTGAGCGGATGAGGGCAGCAGGCCCTCCAGCCCCACGAGCACCGGGAACACGGAAGAGACAGCCCAAGATCGTGGGGAAACTTCACAGGCTGCCTCGCCGCCTCTGTCCCCAGAGCCAGGGGAATGCAGGAGGAGGCGGGCACGCCTGGAGCTCCTCGAGAGGAGGCAGAGCCCGGCGGCTGCCAGATCAAGAGGAACACCTGGAGTTAATGGACAGTCCTCCTGCAAGCAACGAGACCCAGCTGTGAGCGGCTGATAAAAGGGCGGGGCTGAAAGAAAGAAGGCGTGGGAGCAAGACGTGCCTCCACACCACCCCGACCTGTTTCTGGCTGCTATTCCTGAACCTTTGGCCTTGGCCTTGGACCTGCTTGAACCCTGCTTCTTGGACCCTCGGCTGGCTTCCCTTGGACTGAACTCTTGACTCACACTTTGGGTTAGTGATTCTGCCTCGTCCCCGTGGTCTTGGCTGAGTCTGCCCTGACACAGGACAACAGAGTCCAGGCATCTCAGTGGGGTCACTATGATGCTCATTTGTGGTCCTGCTTCAGTGCCATAGCGCTCCCAATACAACATTTTTTTAAAAAGAGGACAATCACACATGTGGAGAAAAAGGGCGCACACCCCCCCCTTACAGCAAGCGCTACGGGGCATTTTACACAGCACCCCATAGTGCTTCAGAAGCGGTAGGAAGGACTGAAGACTGGATGTGTTGAGTTAACAACACTTCAGGCACCCTTCCTGAACGGGACAGAAGCATGTTTGTCTGAACAGGTAAATATATTCCGTTAGGAGCCAGTTACTAAAACGGGTCTGTCTGAAATGACAGGGGGGGAAACGTTAGTAACCAGTTCCTGAAACGGAATACTTGGGCTGTCTGAAAAGGGCCCATATCTCTGGCAGGGGGCAGACCTCAGGGCCCTCCTAGCCTCTTCACGAAACCTGCTCTTCTCCCACGTCAACTTCTCTCCTCTCCATCCCTCCTAGCACTGGCACCCAGGAGCAAGGAAAGGAGGAGGGGGAGATTAGTATTAATCTCTTGCTCCAGATACAAGCTTGGAACAGCTGGAGCCTGGTCCTCAGAGAAGTGGGAAGTTCATAAACATTGCTGCTAAGGAGCCCTGCGTTTTACTCACTTTGTTCAGGGATGGGGGCAGAGAGGATAATGCTGTACAGTCTTTTTGCTTCTTCTACATTCTCAGCAATTTTATCAATATTTAGCCGTGTTTCTTCAATCTGTAAAGAGATGAAAAGGTGAAAGGATGAACACATTGATGTGGACACATAGGGAGGCCAGAGCTGACCCCCACCCCACTTGAAGCTCTCATCTCGTTTTAAGAATTAACCCAACACATGCGTTCAGGTTAGCAAACAACACTTGCATCATTCTGAAGGAAATGCACCTCTCATAAACAGAGTATGCTCCAGAGGAGAAGATACCATATGTAACCATCTTCCACAAAACATAAAAATGAGATGCCAGTTAGAAAGACGATAGCTAAAAATGTGGTATATGTTTGACCTATTAATATATCCTAATAAAATAGTTTAAAAAAAAAAAAAGACAGATTTTACAGCACACTGCATAGCATCTCTCTACATTTTACTGCATGGAAATTCTTCAATTACAATGGCAGATGACCCTCCCCAAAACAAAGATGTTTAAGTGTCCACCTCATTAATTTATTCCCAACTCCAGCCATTCCACTACTAAGAATGCTTTGCTACTAAGGATGTTTAAAGGATTCTCTAACTAGTATTCTGTAAAATGTTTTCAAAAATGTCAGTAACTGATCACTTCTTATACATTCTCCTTTGATATAGGCACTGAGGTGGTCTCTTTGCAGCAGAACTAAATCCCAGGGTTGTTTTTTTTTTAGAGAACAGGCATTAATTACACACCAGTGTAAATAAATGGAATACAGATCTTTCAACCATAGGAAAATAAAAGCCACTGAACAAAGAATTCCCAGGGTTTCGCATGGATACACTTGACTGTTCAGTTTCTAAAGCAGAATGTGAGCTCCTACTGAAACACAACAGCTCTCAGTACATGCTATCATTACCATACCATCCAAATAACCTAAGTGAAAGAAGAAAGCATTTGTTTCCCATTTGACAGTTGGAGGCGCCCATGGTGTGACGTAAGCTGAATCCAGGCCTCTGTCAGACCCTTCCACAAACTCACTCTCAAGAACACTTTTCTTCCTGTGATTTGTTTATTGAGATATGTAGCTGTGTCAAGTAGAGACCTTCTGTGTCAGAACTAAGTTGGCACCAGCTCTGGTGTTATACATGATTCAAACACACACACACCCCAGTGACCGGTCCAGTCAATCCATTCATGCATCCTGCCTAAACTAGCATACGCTCCTTCCCCCCCCCACCACCTGCGATCCTAACAGTTCCATTATCTACAGTGGCCAGCTAGCCACCAGAGACGTTCTTCCCATACGGGAGGCCCCTTAAGAAAACAGTTGTGCAGTGCTAAGCGAAGCAGGTTCCCACACACACATCCACACACTCCCCAACTGCCCCCCCCAACAGCCCAGATACAGAACGGTTACAGGGAAACAAAAACAGAACACAAGATCCCATGGCAAATGAGGCCCTGAGTTTGACATTCTGCCCCCCGCCACGACCCCTCACCTTCCCGGCTTCTGCTCAGACCCAGCTGAGCTCTGAGCAGGAGCAGGAGGCAGAGGTGATAGAGGGTGAGTGTTTTTTTACTTGCTTTCAGCTGAGGGGATTCAGCTGAGGATATTGTGCAGGAGAACGGGACTGGGACTGGTCTGGGAGGGTGTGAAAGTGCTTAGAGTTGTTGCAGAGTCCTGGCTGCTTGAGAGAGGGAGAGGAAAGGGCATTGTTTGACTGTGATTGACTGTAATTGAGAGGAAGAGGAAAAGGAAGGGGCATTGTTTTGCATGTGATTGAGTGCCTGGGTGAATTTGAATAGTTGCTGCCCTCCCTCTGTTGGGGGAGGCCTCTATTTAAGGAAGCACCTTGCCAGAGGCAGAGGAGACGCAGCTGAGCTCTGAGCAGGAACAGGAGGCAGAGGTGCTAGAGGGTGAGTGTTTTTTTACTTGCTTTCAGCTGAGGGGATTCAGATGAGGATATTGTATGGGAGAACGGGTCTGGGACTGGTCTGGGAGGGTGTGAAAGTGCTTAGAGTTGTTGCAGAGTCCTGGCTGCTTGAGAGAGGGAGAGGAAGGGGCATTGTTTGACTGTGATTGACTGTACTTTAGTATTTAAGAAACCACCTTGACAGAGGCA